GAGGAGAGGAGAGGAGAGGAGAGGAGAGGAGAAAGAAGGGAGGCAAGAAATAAATGGCAAAATAGAGACGAATTGCACAGGGACTAGAAAGCAGCATAGTGGAAGTATGCCCCCAAAGCCAAAAGCTCTCGCCTCGTGCAGGCAGCTGGACGCCGCGGGAGCAGAGGGAAGGAAAAGAGCCAAAGGGCCGCAGCAAAAGCCTACAGCACCCGGTATTCCCAGGAGGTCTCCCATCCAAGTACTAACCAGGCCCGACCCTGCTTAGCTTCCGAGATTGGACAAGATCGGGCGTTACCAGGGTCGGATGGCCATGGGCGCCTCCTGCTCCTGCTCCAGCGCTCTTCTCATCTTCACACCACTGACAGCACCCACCAACACCCAGCTTTCAGCTGGGAAGGACTGAAACCACCACATGACCCGACCTGCGCGTCACACGTCCCCTCCCATGCTTGGACAATGCCTCAGCCTGCACTGAATGCATGTCCACCTATTTCTGATGCTGTAACTACCTTTTGATCTCAATGTTTTTGTTTCATCAGAACCAAGTTTAGGCTTAAGGTATGAAAGATTTCTTTTTTATGCAGGGATATATTTTTTTTTCACTCCATTACAGCTTGAGTAGAAGACAAAACATGAATATAGAAAGTAATAGAAGTAGAATGCAACAATTTAGGTGAATCCATGGAAATTCGGCTAATTTTACATAAATGCGTTGGCAAGAATGCACTCCATCCTAGAACTGGGGACATTACTAATGCTAGTATTGCATTTTCTATCCTTCAATATTATAGTTATTACTAACTAAGTAGAATTTTGGTTCACAATTTCCCATGGTTACTGAGAGGTGTTTTGTTATTCTGATCTTTGCTTTGGAGAATAGGTTTTTCTTTCTTCTGCATAGTAGGAGGAAAATGGTGTATATCAAAAAAATACATTTTTCAAGCCATCATGTCAAATTTTCAAATTTCTCACTCCGACAAGAATCCGAGGAAGATCTTGGAAATAAGGGTCAGAGACTTTTGAGTTTTTCCCACTCTTAATATTTAATGTCACAAATGCTTGGCAGTGTAAGATTTTGAGAAGTGGTCAGATTGATTTTCCTATGTTTATCTACTCTGGCACCGTACCAGCTAGCCCATGAAATAGTAATGAGGTTGTTCCAGTGTAATAAGAAATTGCATTTTTCTAGTAGTTCCAAGTCAGATGAGAATGTTTGCCACTTTTTTTTTTAGTTGAATTGAATGAAGTTGCTGTAGCTTTTAACTTGTAATACCCATCCCATCTTGAATTTTTTCAAGGGGATAATTTAAATTATCTCAGAAAATAGACTGTGCTGATGGTACTTCTGTTGATGAAACTCTTCCTTGTGGGAACAGCGTCCAGGTTGTAGACATTTGGAATTTGGACCTTTATAGAAGATGGAACCCTGGCCCCCACAAAGCTAAAGAGAAATCTCTTCTTGAATCCAGTATGATCAGACTTTCTCCCTGTCCTCCAGGTTTTCCAGGGAAGAATGTAATATATAGTAACATAACCAAAATGTGACACATTCTCAGGGCAAAGTCCCTGCAGGTAGTTCTGGGAAAAGAAAAAAAAAAAAGAACAAAAAAAAGAGAGATAATAGTGGTATGCAAATTCTATTTATTTATGTGTTCGTACAAGTGCTGTTGTATTTTTTTCTAAGTTGTACAAAGCATTTTGCAGCTCAAATGGAGTTGGGGAAATGCCCTCTGTAAGCTCCATGGTTCGCAGGGAAGCCACAGTATTTGGCATGCCATCAGGAACTGCACTGCGAGGCAGGGACTAAATGTGCAGTTTTCTTTGAACTTTCAGTGTGCAATTTTTATACAGTGAAAAGCTACAGGTTATAAAGCAGTTCAGAAGCTCTAAAAGATCCTCTCTCTCTTAGACATTGCATATTGAGGCTGATTTTGTACATTTCCAAAATTTGGCCACTTCAGCACCAGGAAAACACAGACAATCTCAGGGATGTTCAATCTTCTCTAATGGCTGAGCCAAATATGGAAAGGCATGTGAGTCAAATCAGGAAAGGCACTGTGAAGGTTTTCCAGCCTTCCCTAAGTAATTAATGTCAGAATCAACACATAACATTTTGCTGTTGCCTCAGCAACTTTTACAGTAGGTTTCCTTTTTAAACGTGCTTTCATTTTTCCAGTTTCGTGCTCTTAGAATCTTGTCCAGTGAATCTTGTGTTTGGATTTTATGGACTTTTGATCATATTCCTTAGAAGATAAAGCTTTCAGAATGTTACAGACATCTTGAACACTGAAGAACTATCATTGTTGACAAGGTGTCTGACCACAGACCAGTGTTCCGAATGAAGGAGAGTGTCAGTTTCCTACTTTTAAAACCAAATTTCCTGAACACTCAAGTTACAAGGAAATGGCCTTATTTATATATGGAAACAGATGTGTTAGAAGCCAGCAACAGGCTTGGTTCATCTCTGTCCTGTTATCACATTCATGCTTGTTTTTCCTTGCTCTTGCAGAACTTTAGAGAAACTCTTCCCAGTACATCAGCAATCCCTGAGCTGAAACAACACAAAAATATCTTGAATATGATCTTGTGTGTTTGTTGCAGACAAGTACAGACTCCTATGTCTACCATACCTCTAAAGCAGAATGAGGGCCAGAGTCATCTCACTCTTCCATTGTTCCTGGTAGGAAGTTTATGATGTGTTTTGGGCCTGAAAGGGATAATATATTGACAAATCCAAGTTCACTCTTACAACTGCAGCACAGTTAAGGAAGGTCAAGGATTTTACATTACTATTAGTTTAATTCCACTGAAACAGCTACTGTTGTTTCTTTTCAGTCTTCCTACGGACAAAGAGAAAAAGGCAGGGAGCAGAAAGAAGAGGGAGAACATTTAAGTAATTTATATTTCACAGCTTTAAATAAAGTTTTCATTTTGTTTAAATCCCACATTACCTTTGCCTTTCAAAAATTTTCCAATAAAAGAATTTCCCACAAAACAGCATTTCCAGGTAATGGCCTTTCAGTATATTAAGGGACTGTAAGAAAGAAGGAAACATTATTTGACAGGGTCTGTTATGATAGGACTAGGAAAAATTATTTCAAACCAAAAAAGGGGAGATTTAGATCAGATATAAACAAAAAGTGTTTTACAATAAGGGTAATGAGGCACTGAAACAAGTTGCTCAGAGAGGTCATGAAAGTCCCATCCTTGGAGACACTCAAGGCCAGGCTGAACCTTGAGTTCTGAGTTCTCTGAACAACTTGATTTAGCTGTAGGCGTCTCTGCTAGAGTGAGGGAAAAAAAGAGGAAAGGGGTAGGACCATCAGTCTCAGGTGTATGCTGCACCCTCTTTGGCAAGTACTTTTGATTCACTGTTCCAACTGCAAACTGAGCACACAAATACGCAGAACTTTCTTTGATAAGCACTTTTAGTTCCGTTTTCCAACTGAGTACAGAGTACTCTGCACCATTTCCATATACAATTTTGGTTTCCTGTTCTGACTGCAAATTAAGCACATTTTCAGTTCCTTCTCTGACTCCAAGCAATGCCCCAGTGTTTGAGACACTGAAACAGTTATAGTCTTCTTCCAGAGTGGTGTTTTGGTGCTTAGCAGAGCTAAAGAGAAAGAGAAAAACAAATATGAGATATATATTTTACAACCACGGTAGCGATTATCAAAGACACAGATCCATACAGTCACATCAAATCAATATTTATAAGCCATTTTCCACATCCTGTGTCTCCCACTGATTCCAGCATTGAGGCAAGCCAGAATTAAACCAGTCAATCAGCTTTGCAATGGCTTGAAAAAAATCCCACCTCCTGCCTGAGACCTATTTCATTTTTGCTTAGACTTCTGCAATGGAAGTGGTGGTGTTCTACATGGTGACAGAACACACACCTTCAGTTAAGTTCAGCTTACAAGACACTTCTTCCTTTAACAATAGTAACATATCTAGTGAAAACTGATTTTGTAATCAGGGCGGAGGGACTCACCCAGGGTCACCATCACGTGTAGGGCTCTGTTGGAGTGCAGAGATTCCTGAAGAAAGAGCTGCCACAGGTGCTCTAGTGGCCTCCTCCCTGCTGGGCACTGTGCTCCTCCTTCTCTGGGATTGCAGGGAGCTGCTCTGCAGCTGTGTCTGCCTCCCACAGCCCAGTGGCCCAGCTTGGCCACACATGAGCTGCATTGCCGCGTCCCATTGCACAACCCCAGCACAGCTGTGAGGGGCAGCAGGGACACGAAGTACACCGGAACCCCATCCAGACGCGGGGCTCACCACGGGACACAAGGCAGCAGGGACACCAGGCAGTGGATGGCCCTGGGACAGCCATGGCAGCAGATGAGCTCTGCGCCGTCCCCGCACACTGCACACTCATCCTCATTGTCGTGCCGTGGGTGGGCATACAGAGGCTCGCCATTGGCAACAGGATGCCACCCAGGCTGCAGGGCATCCTGGCACCTACTATCCATCACAAACACAATACACTGACTGTATCTGGGACAAGGATCTTGTGTGCCCAGGCTGTTGTAGCCAGGGACGGCAGGGTGTCTGAGTTCCAGGCTGCCCGTAGTGGGCCAGTATAGAGGGATATACCAGGCACAGCGTGATGGTCACCCGTGCTGATGCTGAGGTGGGGGGTGTTCGGTGTTTGAGTATGTTTGGAAGGGTAAGGAGGCACGTGTGTGTGTGTCCTGTGGTGTGCCATGCGCGTGCGGTGCCGTGAAGAGCGCCACTGCAGGCTTGTAAGTGCCATTATGCGACGCTGACTTGGCTAGGGTTGATACTGGGGGACATCATAAGCCCTACTCAGAGCAGATCCGGGATGTATCCTTGGATGGGTGAGGTGCAGGGAGTTGTGTGTTCCATAGGCTTGCGTTTTTTGTTCGTGGCTACTTTTCCCCTTGTGTGGAGGGTGCTGTCAGTGGTGTGAAGATGAGAAGAGCGCTGGAGCAGGAGCAGGAGGCGCATACAGCCATCCGACCCTGGCAACGCCCGATCGCTTCCGATCTCGGATGCTAAGCAGGGTCGGGCCTGGTTAGTACTTGGATGGGAGACCTCCTGGGAATACCGGGTGCTGTAGGCTTTTGCTTTCCCGCTTTGGTCCGGTGGGGCTGGGCGGTGCAATTTCATTTTGGGATGCGCCGCTACTTTTCCCCATCTGTGGTTGGTGGTATCTGTGGATGGTACCAAATATAGAGAAAGAGAATAGGAAAGCTAACCTTAGGTCAGTTAAAGGAAAGCAAAGCAATGTAAGGGAAAGAGTGAAAAAAAGCAACGTTGCAGGAATGGAGAAATGTGGGAAGAGCTGAGCCCAGGCCTGGCACAGGAGCTGCGCGGGAGGAGAAGAAGCTGAGCCCAAAGGTAAGAGGAGCTCCTGTGGGTTGTGGGCTTGAAGCAAAGCTGAGAAGCCGTGCCCGGGAGGAGGTGTGGGTAGCTCCAGGCCACCTTGCTGTCTCCCCAAGAGATGCGGGCTGTGGGCTAGGCAGCGGGCAGGAGTGCTGGCCAGAAGCAAGCATCTGTGTGGAGAAAGGCAAAGGGCGGAGGAGGTTGAAGGGGAGCTACCGGGCATGGGCTTGCTCAGCAAGGGGAGCAGAAGCCTGAAGGGCACGAGAAGGGAATAGAGAAGGGCATGCAGAAGGAGAGAAGCTGCGAGCAGAGTTGAGAGCAACCTGTCAAAGCAGCAAGCAGAGCAGGCAAGTGTTGAGATTGGGAGCAAGTAGCAGCAGACACCAAGAGCATCAAGAAGAAGGAAGTGATGAGAAGGTAAGTGAATGGCAGGCAAGGCAATGGTAGGCTAAGGCAGGCAGAAGGGGAGGGGCAAGGGAGGTGAGGGGAAGGGAGAAAAGAGGGGATGGGATGAGAGGGGAGGGTTAAAGGAAATCCTATGATCAAAACCAGAAAAGAAGGCACAAAAAGAAAAAATAGAAAAAAAAAAGAAAAAGAGAAAAAGAATAGAATACGTAAAAAGAAAAAAAAGACAATAAAAAAATGAAATAAGAGACTAAAAAGAAAAAAATGAGAAAAAAGAAGATATGAAATAAGAAATAAAGAAAGGAAAAACAAGTATAGAAAAAGAAGAAAGCTAAAGAGAAAAGAAGAAAAGAACAAAGTAAAGAATAACACCTAAGAAAAGAATGGGTGGTAATACATACAGAGAGAGCAAAGTATAGCTAACGTATTGTGAAGTACCTCACCTTCATTATAACTTATATTTCTGAGTCAAAAGAAATATACATACAGAAAAATGCAAAATATATACATATATATATGTAATATACATAATACATACAGAAAACACAAAATTCAGTAAGAAGCAGAGGCAAATCTACTCTCAAAGATCACATCCTGGACTCTCCTGTTGCCTTCTATGGACTCAACAACAGGCAATTTAGAAACTCCTTTTATATCCTGTTTTACGACTTTCATGCACCGTGGATCAAAGTGGCTATATATAAGCAAAAATGCAACTTTGATTAGACTTTCAAAAAAATAGTTTAAATTAGATTGAGCTTCAATTCCAAAATAAAATTGCACAGGAATCAAACCTAAGTATAATGAAGTTTTCCTTCTGGGTCAGATTAAAACAGCAGTTTGAAGGTCTTGTAATTTGAATGCTCCATCTCAGTGTGCTGAGATAAGAATATCCATAATCTGCATTTCTGTAGTTCATTTTAGCTAGGAACTGCAAACTGCACGTACAGATACCCACCAGCTGTGTTTGATAGTGATTCAATAAGAAAATAACCATCACAGAGGGACCATTTAAGGCCACTGAAATAAAGTCATTTCTGAGATATGAAATGTCTGCCTCTTTACCTGATAATAACAATATGAAAATAAAACAAAAAAATAGTACAGCATTATTTTTTCTTTGTATTTTAAAGGTGATTCAAAGTTTTTGTTCTACTCTTATTCAAGACAAGGCTCTGGGCAGCCTGGCCTGTTGGTTGGTGACCCTGCACATAGCAGGGGATTGAAACTAGATGATCTTTGAGGTCCTTTTCAACCCAGGCCATTCTATGATTCTAACACAAACACAGAGCTACCTCCGAGCTGGCAGTGTGACTGCTTGGAGACTGTCTATGCCAGTCAGCCAGACCTACAGGAGGAACTATTGGACAATGCTGACCATTCCTGGATTCATCAACAGAAGCAGTTTTGTGAGACAAGGCAGCTGTAAGGCAGGATATGCAGTAACTGCTACTGACAAGGTAATTGAAGCAAAACATTACCTGTGGGGACTTCTGCTCGGAAGGCTGAAATAACTGCCTTGACCAGAGCCTTAAATATATGGACAGATACTAATTATGTATTCAGGGTGGAATGCGCTCATAATACCATCTGGAAAGAGAAGGATTGCTCACACGCAAGGAAAACATTCAGTACGATGTAAATCTACCAGAGACTGGCTATTATACATTGTAAAGGACATCAGAAAGGTAGCACTGTACAGGAAACCGGAAATACGATGGGAGGCCAGGTGACAGAACAGGCAGTTTGAAGAAGGCTTTAATTCCAGATGGCAAACTTAGAATCTCTGAACCTGAGATGGAACCTGTAAAATATTCTAGAGAGGAATCTAATTAATGATTTAGAAGAGAAGAAAGCAAGCTGACAGATGGGTGCACGCCCAGATGGACATACTGTTACGGCCTTTAGTATTTTATGGAAATTGGTTCTAAGAGAAGATACATACTGGGGGAACAAACACTACAAAGTACAATCCTAGTACCAGGAACAGGGGAGAAGCGGGCCTATTGGGAAAGGGAACCTTCAGGGGCAACAATGGCATACTGATTTCTTGGAAATCCCAAGAAAAGAGGAGTATCGCTGTATGTTTGTACTGATAGCTTTTTAGGGTGGCTGGAAGCATTCCCTTGTAGAAGTAATAAGGCATGTGAGGTGGCTGAAGTATTGTTACGGGACTTTATTCCTACAGGACTTTATTCCAAGAAGCCAGGGAACTACTTGGTCTGTCAAGGAAAGTGCGCTGTCAAAAGTTAAACTCATAAAGAAGAGTCAGCTACTAATTTGCTTTATCTCAATGTACACAGGAGGTGTTTTAGCCTGGGAAGAGAACTTCTTCTACAGTGTAATTAGTAACTTTTCTAAAACTTTAAACTTCTCTGATTGCTAGGTCTGCACACGACGACC